TTTTTTGATTCAGTATTTTTTTAAACAATATATTTCTTTCTCTCTAGCCTCATTCCTATTAGATTTTATCATACCATTTTCTTTCTTTTCTTTTCTCTTTTCTTTTCTATTTTTTCTTTTCTTTTCAAGATGGATTCTTGCTCTGTCGCCCAGGCTGGAGTGCAGTGGCACAATCTCAGCTCACTGCAACCTCTGCCTCCTGGGTTCAAGCGATTCTCCTGCGTCAGTCTCCTGAGTAGCTGGGATTACAGGTGCGTGCCGCCAAACCTGGCTAATTTTTGTATTTTTAGTAGAGATGGGGTTTCCCCATGTTGGTCAGTCTGGTCTCGAACTCCTGACCTCATGATCCGCCTGCCTCGACCTCCCAAAGTGCTGGGATTACAAGCATGAGCCAGTGTGCTTGGCCACCATTTTCTTATTGTAAATTTTAGTTTGCTTATTCAGTTTAGCTTAAGAATTAAATATGGAATTTTCTGCATTTGTGATCTGTATATATTCCTGACGTGTCTAACAAGTTTTCTGTTGAAGATTAGGAGGTTGGTATACGTAAGATTTGAGAACATTAAATCTGTAAGTAGATGCTTTGATTTCAAGGTAGATGAGAAATTATTTAATTGAAGTTCATTGATATCAGATAGTAACTTCTTATGTATCCTTTTAGAAAATTCATTGATTTCTGGGATTCTCCTTAATATGAAGGGGTCTTTGGAAGTGCAAAGCTATTGAGAGTCAGTTAGTTAGGTTTACTATAGAATGACTAGGAAAAGACAAAGGTGTTACTTATATCCATATTCCTATGGCAAAGAAGATAGTCAGTTATAATATTTATCGAAGTTCTCACTCAGAGCAAATGTTCTGTAGAAACACCTAGATTGAGTTTCCCCCCAATATTGTATAAATGATGGAAACTTATTGAACAGAATTTTAACATCTCATTTGTCTAGATTTAGGACATCTTCTCCTCTCAGGAACACAGTAGAGTGCTAAGATCAAGTACATGAGTGTCTGAGTGGTTAAACATTAGCTGTCACTGCATACTTATGATATATAATATGACACTCACAAAGCAGTTTTGCCGTTTACTACTTGACTCACTTAGAATGAAATAACTTTGCTTGTGTCCTTGTCGGCAGAATAAGGATGTAAAAGCTGGTTGTGAGAATAAGGATGTAAAAGTTGGTTGTCATGTATGAAAATGTGTGTGTGTGTGTGTGTCTGCGTGCACTTGTGCATACACACACACACTTCGTGCTCCATAAAGCACTGTAGAGATAAACAGGAGCTTATGTTTAAATGTGTTTCCTAATTAGAAGATGTGAGGAACATCTGCTAGGGACGTTGACTCAGTGCACATTTGTCTTGGCTATCTTCTCAAATTGGGGCAAATAAAATGGTGTTAAATTTGAAAAAACAAAGAGTAGTAGTAGAAGACATACTAATAATATTTGTTATCTCCCTTCTGTCTGGTACCAAAACATGCTTTTTACAGACTTGGAAGCTGAGCCTCATAAGTGTTGTGTGACTTGCCCAATAATTTCTAGTTGTGAGAGGCTAGACGAGGACAAAAACTCTGTTTCTTCCACATTTAAACTTTATTCTCCCTGTGATAAACTATGCTGTGAATTTTAGACAGTGAAGGATTCAGGATAAGCTCCCTCACATAGCACACCTCATCCTCCAGCATTGCCTCATAGACACACACCCAGTGATAGCATATCATTTGTATTTTGTACTTTTAAAGATTTATATTTTTTTTTATTTAAAAAACTGTACAGTAATGTAGCTCTCATCATCATTTTATCATTTAGCATTTTACGGTGTTCGCGGGGAAGGGCCTTGACGTGGCAACACCGCTTCTTAACTAACGCTTCCCCTCTCACACCTACTAACCTCTCGCCCCTTGAGTCCACTCTTATTTCCTTCCCTTTCAATAGGCTGTCATTAAATTCTCTTTCCCATTATTAGTGCTGCTGCTTCTTCTCTTCCATATTCATAGTCTTACTTTGAGAGCTATCTAGTCATCCTATCTATCCTGGTTTCTCCATAGCCTTTGAATTCTGTGTTTGATACTTTTGAACAGAACATCTGAAAGTTCCCTTTCTGTATTCCAACACTCATAGGGTGATTGTCATTAAGAAAATAAAACGAAAAATTGAGCTCAGACTAAAGAATTCTTTTTTGTCTAAATAGCGATTAAGTTATGATATATTCCTATAGTTGGCCTAAGAATAGTCCCTATGATTTAGTTGTCTTACGATTATTTGTACTAATAACCTAACAATTGATTGCGTACAAGTAGCCTTAGGACAATACTTCCTTAAAAACATGTTTTTGATAAACTAAAGCTTTGGCATTAATCAGAAGTCATAATTTAATAGTATTGTAAAAATACCTCATTTATTTTAAATCCTCAGTTGGGCAGAGGGTTACAGTTGTCATTCCAAATACATGAATCTCTTATCAAAAGAGGACTTTGACAGTTTCATGGTAAGACCCCTTCATATATTACCTCAAGGAGTGAGGTTTTTTTTGTGCATGTTGTTTGGATGTGTGTGGGATTGGTGAGGTAGCCTAAAATTTCCTAATTGCCCTTTTACATTTTTCTTTCTTT